TCGCCCGCATCAAACTCGAAAAATCTTGCCCTTCTGTCGTGAAGTCGGGCCTGGTGAAATTGTTCCTTTTCTATGTTTCTGGTGACGTCAGGCTTCAGTTGATCAAAAGGAGAGCGTAGAAGGCGACCAAACATTAATTCGGCCGGTGTCCGATTAGTGGAGCGCTGGTTAGTGTTCCGGTACATAAAAAGAAAACGTGATAAACGGCGCTGTGGGTTTGGCTCTTCCATAACTGACATCTTCTCTTTAAACGTTTTTACCATGCGTTCGGCTAACCCGTTTGACTTCGGATGGTAGGGTGTGACCCTAATATGTGTGATCCCACTCTGTGCGCAATAAGTTTCAAATTCGTTGGAAACAAATTGAGGTCCGTTATCTGAAACGATGAACTTAGGGAGCCCCAACCGACTAAAAACTTCCATAAGTGCTGTGATTGTACGCTCGGAGGTAGTGGTCGACATAGGAACAACCTCCAACCACCTGCTGTAGGCGTCGACTACAATGAGCCACCACTTGTTTTGGAACGGCCCGGCAAAATCGATGTGTACGCGACTCCAGGCTTCCGCCGGTGGTGCCCACGGAAACAGAGGTAAGTATTGTTCGTTTCTTTTCGCTCGTTGGCATGGATAGCATTTTCGCACAAAGTCCTCTATCGCAGTATCGATCCTGGGCCAATAAACATGCAGGCGTGCCAGGGACTGCATAACACTGACGCCCGGGTGACCGTCGTGTAGCATTTTTAAGATTTCCGATTGGAGGCCGGCCGGCACGCAAATACGACCCTTCCACAAAAGAATCCCCTCTTCCACAGATAGCTCCTCCCGCTTCTCGAAGTACGGAATCAATTCCGCTGCCAAATGTTTCTTCTCCGGCCATCTGCCGTTTGTGTAGTCGCAAACTTTTCTCAGCACGGGATCAGCCGAGGTGCCGCTTTTTAAAGTCTTTCTGGTCACGCACAAATGATGAAGTCTGAGATGTAGAAGCTGACTTCTTTTAGGCTCTCCTGCCTCTTCCTCAGCGGACCGCGATGTCATGGCTATCGGTAAACGCGACAGGGCGTCTGCAGGTGCGTTTTCTTTGCCACACTGGTACTGTATAGTGTAGTTGTAGCTATTCAGGATCGTGGCCCAACGGAGTAGCCGATTGCTAGCAATCTTCGGTGTGGTCCGGTTTTCACTAAAAATGTATTGCAACGGCTTGTGGTCCGTTACCAGGAAAAAATGGCGGCCATAGAGGGAACTGTTGAATTTAGACACTGCGAAAATAATGGCCAGGGCTTCTTTGTCAATGGTGCTGTAACGCCCTTCCGTGTCCGTCCACGTGCGTGATGCGTACGCGATAGGGCGTAAGGTTCCATCTGTGAATTTGTGTGAAAGCACCGCCCCCGCGCCTCTGTTAGAGGCATCGGTGCAGACATAGATAGGGAGCTTTGGATCATAATGCACCAAGGTGTCGTTTGAACACAAAATCGTCTTTAAACGTAAAAAAACCTTGTTGTCCTCTTCAGTCCAATCCCATCTTACGTTTTTCCTTAATAGCCGGTGTAGTAGTGCACACTCCGCATGTAAGTTTGGTATAAAACGACCATAGTATGTGATGGATCCCAAAAATGATCTTAACTCTGTGGTATTTTGCGGGGCTGGCATCCCTTGTATTGCTTCAATCTTGTCGGCTATCGGATGTATGCCAAAACGATCAATCACATGCCCTAGATATGTGATACTGCTCTGGAACCATGCGCACTTTCGACGCTCTGTCTTGATGCCGACTGCCTCTAAGCGCTCTAATACTTGTTTCAGACGTTGAAGATGTAGTTCTGGTGTAGGTGCGGTTACCAGAATGTCGTCCAAATAGCAGACAACTCCCTCAATCCCAGAGAGCAGTTGGTCCATTGTGCGTTGGAAAAGCGCAGGTGCAAACGATACTCCAAACGGCAACTTCTTGTAAGCGTAATACCCTTTGTGAGTAGCGACCACAAGGTATTTTCTGGAGTCAGGGTGCACCTGGAGTTGTAGGTATGCGTCCTTCAAATCAATTTTCGAAAATTTACGACCCCCGCAAAGTTTAGCGGTTATCTCTTCGAAAGTAGGTAGCGGATAGTCGTCAACTTGTACGTAGGGATTGATCGTCACGTTAAAATCTCCGCAAAGGCGCACGGCGCCATTTGACTTCACAACCACTACAATAGGTGAGGCCCAGCTAATCGAAGTTATTGTGGTGTCAACCAACTCTAAAACTCCCTCATTTACCAGCCTCTCGATCTCTGCGTTTACCTGTTCCCGCAGCGCAATGGGTACGGGCCTCGCTCTGAATGCTTTTGGACGCACATCCTCAGAAATGTGTATCCGTGCTGACGGTCCCCTAATAGTGCCTATTCTGTTTTCGAAAAGTCCCCCATACTGGGACAGAAGCCGCTCAAGCTGCAATTGCTCCGGGTGCTCCGTGTGTCCTGATGGCCCTAGCCATTCCTCGCGCTCCCCCCCCTTTACTGAACAGACGCGCGCTCCAGGAGGTAGGGGAAGCCCAAACGCTAGACACCAATCAAACCCAAAAAGCGGAACATCATTACTGTTTACGAAAGTCAAAGGCAAAGTTTGAATTGTTCCAAATGCTGCTACGCGTACGTGCGCTGTACCCAACCTGTCAATAGGTAAATGTGAATAAACCACCAGGTCGAGCGTCGGTTTAAGTTTCGGCTTTCCCAACTTCTCCCAGATACTTCTTCCAGCTACTGATTGCTCCGCCCCTGGATCATACAACATCGCAACGTCAAGTTCGTTAAGTTTTACATCGAGGAATGCTTTTTTTCCGCGTACCGCGCGAATTGCCGAAATATTCGAATCCGCGCTAAAATGTTCTTCGTCACTACTCTCGTTTGACTGTCGTCTGTCTCTGTCCTGAACGCGAACGTGCCGAACACCGCCGCTTCGCTGTTTGTTTATCAGCTTTGCTCGACCCGACGAAATACACGCACGCGCAAAATGTCCCCGCTTACTGCACGCCGCACAAGTCTTGTCCCTAGCCGCGCACGTCGCCGTGTTTTTATGCACGTCATAACCGCAAAATATGCAATGTTTTTCTATGTCCAACCGTAACACGACCCTATTCTCATCCTTACTAGTACTAGGTTTAGGAAAAGAACGACTTTCTACTTGTTTAACCCGAAATGCTGTTGCCGATTCAGGATGTTTAAAAAGCGTCATTTCGGATAATTTCCGCCCGTGGATACTTGCTTGCTCAAGTTGTATTGCATAGGTTTCCACCTCGGACAACTTTGCTGCGTTTGTCGTGTATTTTAAGATTATTTCTTGCTGCCATGCAGGTTGGTTAATGCCGATTACAAGCTGGTCACGTAGGCGCTCGTTAAGGTTTTCTCCGAATTCGCAACTTCCCGCCAAACCTCGTAAAACTGACAAAAACTGTGTTACCGATTCGTTTTCTTGCCTGCAGCGCATAGAAAATGCTACCCGTTCCGAAAGAACATATGTTTGACGTTTGTAATGTTTGTCTAAAACCGCTTTTAACTCGTCATAAGATTTCGACACGACGCTGTTCGGTTTAAAATGATCCACTAAAATCTTAAATGAGATCGATCCTACCTTAGCCAGGAACTGGTTTCTTTTTTCTTCTGCTTTGCTGGCTGTGTTGAGCCCGTGTAATGTTAATTCTACCTCGAAACGCTGTATGTAATACGTCCATTCCTCCTTTTCCGGATCGAAACTCTCGAAACGTATGTGTGCCGCCGTTGCTGTAGCCATGTTTTTTCAACCCACTCGTCGCCAATCTGTCGTATTATTCAGTGAAAACAAAAGACGGGAACGAACATACTTTTATTTAGAAGACTGCCACTCTCATACTAAAAATAATACAATGCAAAAACGGGTGGCCGTGAACCGCGCGCGCTTCAACGTAGGTCATTCACTCTCTGCCAGCTGTGGCCGACTGCCGGTCGCTGCTCCCCGCCCGCCAAACGCGCCCCGTCGTACTTTTCCTAGCGCGCACTGAACTGACCCGGAAACGCCGAAACGAACACACCGATCACTTTACCACAATAGGGTTTTATGTGATGTGGCAAGCTACGAATGTTTTCGGGAAACCCTTCTTGAACGTACTTGATCAGTTCTTGTAACTGCCGGTCTTGTCTGGTATGTTGTCGAATTTCCTCGGTAGCTGTTTTTGATGCTGCTAGTACTACGCATACTTGAAAATCTTCTTCTGGTGGATTAATTATGTTCGACTGTTCACAGTCTCGGCTCATCGTGTCTGCGATCGGTATGTCTTTGCCTTTCTTGTAGATGACTCTTGGCGCATACTGCGAAACGTCGAATATTATTCTCTGCAGTCTGGGTGGTGCATTCTGTATGGGTTTTCGGAAGATGGATTCCAATGGTTTGTGGTCCGTTTCGATCGTTAGTTCCTTCCCGTATACATATTCGTGAAACTTTTTGCATGCGTACTTCACTGCTAAAGCTTCCTTCTCGATCTGGGGGTAATTTTGCTGGGTTGGTGTAAGTGCGCTCGTACCGTATGCGATAGGTTGGTCTTCTTGCATAAGAACTGCACCCAGGCTTTTGGAGCTAGCGTCGACGGATAAAGTTACTGCTTTAGTGACGTCATAATATCGTAACACCGGTGGTTTTACTAGAAGCGACTTGATTTTCTCAAAGGCTTGGCTTTGGTCTATATCCCAGTACCACGTGACGTCCTTTTTTATCAGCGTTCTCAATGGTTCTGTGATTTTGCTCAAGTTTGGTATGAATTTATTGAGGTATGTCACCATTCCTAATAATCTTCTGAGCTGTATTTTATTTTCCGGAGTTTTTAAGTTGTTTATGGCTAACGTTTTTTGGGGGTCAATTTCTAAACCTTTAGACGTGAATATGTGCCCTAAGAAATTTATCTTTTGCTTAGCGAAAACACACTTCTCCTTATTAAGTTTTAGTCCCGCCTCATTTAATTTTCGGATAACCGTTTCTGTTGCCGAATTTAATTCTTTCTCCGTTTTTGCGTATATTAGAATGTCGTCCATTGAACACTCAGTATTACTCACGTCTTTTAGTACGTGGTTCATTAGTTCCTGAAAAACTTCTGGTGCTGAACATAATCCGAAGGGTAACCTCAAACAACAATATCTACCCCAGGGGGTTGCGAATGTCAAGTATTTTTGAGTGCGTTCACTAACTTTGACTTGCCAGAAACCTTTCTTGCAATCTAGTTTTGTGAAATACTTGGAACCGTTTACTTTTGCCGAGATTTCCTCGATTGTTTTTAATGGATAATGCCTGCGTAGAATGTTTTTGTTTAAATTAGTAGGGTCAATGCAAACTCTTAGTCTATTGTTTTTCCTAACGATGACCATAGGACTGACCACTGGTGTAGGTTCCGTAATTTTTTTAATTACTCCTAGCTTCTCCATATGATCTAATTCCTTTTTTACGTCTGCCCTGATTGCATGTGGAATTTTTCGTGGTGGCAAGATCGTGAGTGAAGGGTTATCTATCAAGTCGATGTCATACTCGTATGCTTTTATGCATCCTAGCCCATTGTAAAGGTTATGATCGATGCTTAACTTGTTTACCCTAAGAATCAAGCCTAATTCCTGACATGATTTCTTTCCTAATATTGCAGGGACGTCTTCGTTGATGATTTTAAATTTTATTTTTGCACTCATGGATTTTACCCTACAGTTTAGTACGGTTTCACCAATTACTTGAATTCTGTGTTTACTATATGTTGTTAAATATTTGGTATAGGTTGGGACGATTTGTGCGCCTACCTTTGATGCTATTGATTTGGTTAACACGTTACATTGTGCACCTGTGTCTAATTTGACAATGAACTTTTCGTTATTGACATGGATTGTTTCCTGCCAGTCGGAATGCGATCCCTGATTAATTTTGTTTATGCTTTATCGAGATCCAATTTCTCTTGTGTTAGTAACTTCTCGCGAACTTGTTCCGCTCTAATTCCGAATATAATTTTGTCTTTTAACAAGTCGTCATTCAAGTCTTTGAAATCGCACGTTTTGGCCAAATTTCTAATAACGGTTAGAAATTCGTCAAATGTTTCGCTTTCCTTTTGAGTTACTTTAAAGAAATTGTATCGCTCGAACGAAACATTGATTTTTGGAATAAAGTAATTATTTTATCTTTTATCGTTTTGATGTCCTTTTGTTGCGCAGCCGTAAGATTAAAGCTGTTGAATATGTGGATTGCATCTGGCCCAATTGTACTCATGAACGTTGCTGCTTGTACTTCTGCCGTTTTCTCCTGTAGTACTGCGGTTTCGTACCATTCAAATTGTTGAAGCCAGTTCTTCCAATTCTTAGCCACGTCGTTGTTAATAGACCACTTACACTTTTTTAGTTCCTTCTTTTAGAGCTAGGCGGTTCGTGTCGCACTTTGGTATAATATCAGCTGTTTTCTGTGGTTGTTGTATGGGAACAGAATAAACTTAACTGATTTTAAAAGAAAATGAACATTTCCGATTTAAAATCTGCCTTAAAGCAGTTAGGTGCCAAAACATCTGGATCGAAGCAGCAGTTGGAAAAGCGGTAAGTGTTGTTATATTCTGAATAAAGATTTTTTTAATTTCCTAACCTATTATTCTACTTTTAGATTAAGTACATGGAAAGAACATGGACTTGAGAAAACCTTATTCGAAGTAGATTTAATGAAATGTGTACCGAGCGAGGAATTCCCAACGAGTGCTTTGTTTAAACCGTTGAACACTTATTCCGGAACTGCATTGATAAGCTACGATGCAATTCATAAATGGTTTTCGGATCGACGAGCGCTTAAAGGAATGCAGAAAGGCCGCATATTAGCGATCAAGTTATTCATTAAATATAGTAAAACATATATTGATGGGAACAAGTATTATTTACAATGTAAGTGCTGTGCGGAACAAAGGAAAACTTTCGAATACAATGCTTGTGTTCAGGAGCAAGTCAGCAATAGCAGCGTTGGCATCACCTTTTTCTTGAACGATTGGCAGCACTAATCATGATAGATGTGATTGTCGAATTTCTGACAGCGGTTTAAAAAGCGCTTTCGTAATTTGCTGCATTTATTTTTGAGGTTAAGTTAATTGTTTACTTTTGTTTTTAACACGCTAGACATGGAATTAGATTTATTATTAGATAAGTGGAATGTGGTTACCAACGAAAATGGAGAGGTTACAATTAATGGTTGTAACATAGTTTTACAACATAAGCAAAGTAAGTAACTGGAAATATTTAGAGAATTGTGAAAATTAATTTAATTTTCCTTTCAGCACATGAAATAGGGTACATAGAAAATACAGATGAAAATCAATCGATGTTAGGACTGTCTATCCAAAACGAAGACACATCTGAAGCAGACGTGACAGAAGACACAACAAATGAGTTGCAAGGTGTATCCGAGGACTCCCAAAACGATGAATATTGGAACCATGAAGATACGCAATATCTTTTAACGTTATATGCCGAAAACATTGACAAATTTAGAAACACCAAAATTAAAAAGAAAGATTTATGGAAGCAAATAGGGTGCAAGATTGGCAAATCAGACGTATTGTGTGATCGTAAATTTCGGAATTTAAAAGGTACATATATTAAATTGGTAAGGAAGAAACGCAAAACTGGTGAAGCACCCATAAAGTGGCCATATTTCTCCCTGATGCAAGATATTTTAAATCAAGATGTCAATATTAACCCTGTTAAGTATTTAAGACCTATTACAACTATATCTTCACCAAGTCCAATAATTAACGAGTCATGTGTGCCTCCCAGCTGTACCAGTAGAGACAAAACCAATACGCCTTCAGTCCACACAACTATCTCATCAATTACTAATAAGTCATTGAACGTGTCATCCTTGACTGCCACTAAAGATTCAACAAATACACCACCCAACAGTCGATCCCAAACACCGAGTACTTCCACGCCTGATGGTGAAGAAACGAATAATGTTCGTGCGCCTACAATTCGAAAGCGAAAGTTTGATAAGTACCGTGAATTGGCTGCCGATATAAAGGAACGCCAAACAAAGATGGAATCCAAAATAGATGTAATGAATGAGATATTAATGAAAAGCAATAAAATACAGGAAGCCAGAAATAATTTGCTAAAACAATATCTTGAACAAAAAAAATAAATTAGTTAGTTCTTTATTATCTTCAGAATTATCATTTTTTTAAAATTATTCTTTACTGTCATTTGCGAGTACTTAACTTGTAATAAAAGAAAAATTTCAATATCGTTTTATTTATAACAAACTAAACAAAATCGCATTAGGCACAGCACTTACAATCTAATTCACTTTAAATTACTACAAAGTATTTCAGCTTATATAATTAGTAATTAACAGCCTCTTTTCACTTGCCGAGAGATTTTCATCAATTTCTATGTCTTCTTGCTGCTGCCGACTATATAAGTTATCTGGTTCATATGTTAAAATAAAGTTATGCAAAACACATGCAGCACAAACAATATCCGTTACACCTGTTATATCATTAACTTCCAAATATTTCAGGCGTCTAAATTTCCCCTTCAAGCGACCAAAGGCTCGTTCAATGAATGCACGAGATTTTGCATGAATGGTATTATATTTCTTTTGTGATGCTGTAAGATGGCCTGTATCTCGATACGGTGTCATCATCCTTGTAAGTAAAGGGTACGCTGAATCCCCTAAAATATGGCAATTTGAGGGAACAACCTGGTTTAAAACATCTGATAAAGGACTTTCTCTGAACACCCGTGCATCATGTGAACGACCTGTTTGGCCAAGATATATGTCGATAAATTTTAAAGTATGATCACATGTGCCTTGTAACACTATGCTGTGAACGTCCTTCCTATTGTAAAAGTCTGTAGGGTTATTACTAGGTGCCTTTATTTGTATGTGACATCCATCAATAAATCCAACAGTGTTTGGAAAACGATGTACTCTATGGACGTATCTTTTGATATCAGTTTGTTCCACAGCTGTCGGCCACTTAATAAAATCATTTCTGCATTCTGTTAATAATTTACAAACTTTGTGAAAAATAAAGTTGACAGTGGACTTACTCAATCCAAACAAATTACCTGCAACAACATACTTCTTAATTAAGAAAAACAATTAAAGTTCGTACTTACCTACTTCTCGATAGGAATCTTTATTTGCCAGAGTCCACAATGTTACATATAACTGCTTATCACCTGGAACTTTCGCACTGTCAAAGTTGCACTTTGTCTTTAAATAGGTATTCATAGAGTGCCTGCAACAGTCAATAATGCTTTACATACCTACTTAAAATGAAAGCTAAGCATAACACACCTGCAAAGTGGTCCCCTTCATTCGAAAATGTTCCAAACATTCAGAGTCATTAAACGCTGCAATTTTTTCAATAAAGTTATGTGATGGCAAACTTAAAGCAGACCTTACACCATATTCTTCTGCAACTGTATCTTCTAAACCAATAACATCATCATTCATATTCGCTGATACTTTTGCAACTACGCTAACGGCTTTTATGTGTTCCTCCAACGGGTTTTCCATCAACATATTAAACACAAATTCATCCATAATTATTAGGTTAGAATTTTGTAAACAAAAGTATAAGCATGGTGGTGGATGCCGTCCAAGAAATTGCAAGCGATTACTAGCAGCAGGTCATCATAGATGTCGTAGCGCACAATCGTGATTATTGCTCCTGAACACAAGCAATGTCAAAATAAAAGTTGTACAACATCAGTCGACATTTGAAATAGGTATTTAATTAATATTTTCAAATATGTTTACAGGAGAATTTATTAAATATAAGCAAACTTTTTGAAGGAATATGTGATGCCCTCATCATAGAATAATTCGAGGGGTTTTCCTCCCTAAAAAATGATGTATACAGATTCAAATGGAGGTTAGCCCCTCGGAATAATATTTGGTTTTGCCTTTTGCATTTGCTAATTTATGGTTAAGTAACGCAGGTGCAAAATCCACCGAAGATGATCAACAGACTTCACCTACTGCATCTGTAAAAGCCTTGCCTGCATCAAATACTGACACATACGACTTTTCTTTTATAAATGCATTAAAACAACGACTGTATTCCAATTTACAATTGCAAGTACCGCTGCCGCTAGTAAACTTGACACAGTCTGAAGCAATATATTATAAAGAAAATGTTGTTGTGTCTGTAGACGGTGCGTTAGATATAGCTATGGCTACTGTCCACCAAAACAATACCTTATGGAGAATGCATCGAAAGCGACGTATAACAGCAAGTAGATGTTACGAATTATTTACTTACTGTAACAATGCAAACCCTAACTGGCCAAGGAAGATAGATAGTTTGATTAATTCTACATTTACAGGAAATGCAGCTACTGATTATGGTAACAGTTGTGAATCCCTTGCTAGACAAGTGTATCAATGCCAATATGGGCAAGTGCATTCCACAGGATTGCTAATTAATCCCTCCATTCCTTGGCTTGGATTTAGTCCTGATGGCCTAAAAATGCACAGCGGAGTTATTTATAAACTAATTGAGATAAAATGCCCTGTTCTGTGGAAGGTTTTATATGAGAGTTACCATATCTCAAATATGACAATCAACAACTTTTCCCATATTGCCTTAATACGAATCATAAGTATGGTCAAGTGCAATTAGCAATGTTTTTGTTAAACATTGAATTGTGTGACTTTGTCATCTTTAGTTCTTTTGATAATAGTATATTTGTAATTGAAGTAGAAAGAGATGATGTATTCCTTCAAGCTCTAATCACAAAGTTGCATTACGTTTATTTCAGGTATTACTTAAAAATGTTATCTAGTTAATAGATTTTACCATTAATGATTTTACCGTTGGTATTGTAAATTAAGATTAGATATGTACATTATATATTTTATATTACTTAATGTTAGTGGTGTTACTTTGAATATTACAATATAGTTTAAGATGTGAAATGAGTTACATTATGATGCAAACTATTGCTTACTTCCTGTAATTAAAGTATCATGAACGATAGATGGTTTGAAGTTAATAAACATCATGCAGTTATATACAATTTCATTTGTTATATGCCATAAATGTCTTGGTATACGATCACTTAGGATTTTATTTTTTTTCCCCGCTCCTATTAAATTTTCAATAATTATTCGACGATTAGCAATGGCCCTGGTTTTAAAGATTTCTTCTTCCGTTAACTGCGCTCCTTTCTTGAATGGGGGGATATTTAAATGGACATGCTTTTCTTCCAAAAGATCTGATATGTCAAATCCTCGGTTAGCCAAAACGTAATCTGCTTCCTTCAAAAGATCAAGTATGCCCGATATATGTGATATTTTGCGATCAGTAATAGAACCCCCATACACATCTGACACAAAGGCAATTTCTCCATTTTCCGTTCCACCAATCAGTACCTTGAAAGTATTTGTTCCATAGTAACTAGAGTATGTAGCTTGTTGTATTAGAGGATCACCACTGCGTTCGATTCTAAATTCCGTACAATCCAAGACTATCGTGTACTGGCCGTGCTTACACGTTTTTAAATCCCAGAAGTTGATTTGTCTAAAGTTTGTGTATAGGTGTTTTGTCCACTTTTCTACTATGGATTTTATTATTCGAATATCTGTGTCAAAAAGGGCAGCTAACGTCGTATAATGTAAGTTCAGTCTGTATTTCATTAGCGTGATTAAGAGCTCGTCTTCATTGGTAAATAGCGAATGTGTTTTTGTGTATGAATTGCCAAAATATTGACAAAAAAAAATAAACAATTTTCTGGAAAATCCCGTCATGTGTTTCATTTGAGCCTCATCTATGAAACTTGCGGATATTAATTGGGATCGCTTAAGACTAATGATCGTTTGAATTTGCGCATGATGTGTGCCACTTCTTTCCACTTCAACTTGTTCTTCTACATCTTCTGCGATAATGTCAACTATTTCATTGTCACGATTGACATTATGTTTGTCATTGTCGGTTACAATCTTTTGAGTATGCCTTGACAAATATCTTTCACTTCTTGCAGTAGAATCACGTTTCTCTAGATGATGAGAGCTCCTTGGCAAATTTTGTGATGGAATTGCACTTTTCTTAAGTATTTTCCATTGACCTGTGTTCAAAGTTTAAATAAATTGTGATAAGGAATACAAATACCACCTAAACTAGTCACAACGTAGTCATCATTTCGAAAATGTTTCTCACACACCTTTGCATGCTTTGAGGGCTGTTTTCCTGATTTGATCGCATTTAACCAAGATCGTTTTTCTTTTGCCTCTCTCGGAAACGAATGAAATTTATATTGTATCGTCTTGGTGGTGGAATTACAGTTGTACACTGAACAATTGTAAGGCATTTTTTAGTATTCTTATGGAGAAATACATAAGAATAAAGTGAGGTTATGTTTTAATACCAAAACTCGCCTTCAGCGACCTCTATTTGTAAGTGGTCTATTAAGGGACTACTGAGACCAACAAGGTTAATGTATGGTGTAGCTTCTGCTCCTGCCATTTGGCAGAAAACAATCGAAATCATTTTACAAGGTATACAGGGTGTGACAGTATTTTTTGATGATGTGTGTATTACAGCACCAAATGAGATATTACACATGGAACGATTAAAACAAGTATTAGATCGATTCTACAAATACAATGTACGTGTTAATTTTGATAAATGCTCTTTTTTCGCTAACAAAGTAGAGTATTGCGGTTATACAATTTCGAAGGATGGCATAGAAAAGTCAAAGAAAAAAGTGGAAACAATTCAAAACATTCCACAACCACAAAATAAAGATGAATTGAGAGTATTTTTAGGTCTCATTAATTATTACGGTCGCTTTATTAATAACCTAAGTACAGTTGTACATTCCTTAAATAAGTTATTACGACAGGACGAACTTTGGAATTGGGATAACAATTGCGAAAAAGCTTTTAAAACAGTGAAGCGGGAAATGATGACAGATAGAGTGCTAACTCATTATGATCCTAAATTGCCGTTAGTACTGGCTACAGATAGCAGTTCTGTAGGCGTTGGTGCAGTACTATCTCACATTTTACAGGATGGAACTGAAAAACCCATTCAATTTGCTTCACAAACGTTATCAGACACACAAAAGCGTTACTCCCAAGTTGACAGAGAAGCTTATTCAATTATATTTGGGGTAAAGAAATTTTATCAATACTTGTATGGGGCCAAATTTACTTTAATCACAGATTGTAAAGCGTTAACTCAAATTTTTCACCCACATAAGAATTTACCTGTTTTCTCTGCCGCTCGAATGCAACACTATGCGATTTACTTGCAAGCATTCAATTACACAATTAAATATAAAAACACTAAGACACATAGTAATGCAGACGCAATGTCGAGATTACTATCAAACAGTGATCTGAAACCTACAAACCTGTTCGATGAATCTGATATATTTAATATAAATCAAATCAATGTGTTACCTCTTACAGTTGAAAGGTTAGCACAGCATACACAAAAAGATCACGAAACTCACAAACTTCTAAGAGCATTAACATCAGGAAATTTCATTCCACAGGAAGATAGGTTTAACATCGAACAAAACGAATTTTCTCTACAAGAAGGCTGTATAATGCGTGGTGCGCGCGTGTTGATACCACATACTTTGAGGAAATATATCCTTGACGAACTACATGTTGGTCATTTTGGTATAAACAAAATGAAATCACTAGCTCGTAGCTATTGTTGGTGGCCGGGGATAGACCAAGACATAGCGCATATTACAAAAAATTGCTCTAGTTGTAATAAAATCAGGAATGATCCTCCAAAGTCTTATCACCATTGGTTACCTTGTACCGAACCATTTCAGAGAGTACACTGCGATTTTGCCGGTCCTTTTCAAGGACAATATTTCTTCATTTTTGTGGACGCTTATTCAAAATGGCCTGAAATCCATACAATGAGAAATATCACAGCAAAATCTACAATTCAAATTTGCATGTCTATATTCTCACGTTTTGGATTGCCTGATTATCTTGTTAGCGATAATGGCAGCCAACTAAAGTCGAGCGAGTTTGAACACTTTTTAGCATCACAAGGTATCATACATAAATATACTGCACCTTACCATCCCGCGACCAATGGTCAAGCTGAACGTTACGTTCAGATACTGAAAAAATAATCTAACAATCACTGATAAAGTAAACACAATGCTAATGCAATATAGGAAAATGCCGCATGCCTCCACTGGGAAGTCTCCAGCGTTATTATTCTTAAATCGTGAAATTAAAACAAAAATTGATAGGATTCTACCAAAAACCAGTTACGTACTATCCAAACAAGAAGTTACAGATAATCAGAGCAGGGTGCTTGATGTGGGAGTTAGAGTTGCAGCCAGAAACTATAACGGTGATAAGTGGATATTTGGTCGTGTTGGAAATGTCTTGGGAAAACTTCATTATTTAATCAGATTAGATAACGGTAAATTTATAAAAAGACACATTGATCAAGTAAGGGTTATTGGGGAGAATATTCAAAAAGAGGAACACGATGACAGTATTCCTTTTCCACCGATCGCAAGCCAGCAAAACTTAAGTGCACCAAAAGAGCATTCTGCCATGGGAAACTCTGGGGATGATTCAGTGAGTATTTTACCACCAGGGAACAACTCCAAACAAACCGAAGTTAAGGTAGCTCGTCCAGAAAACCTTACGATTCCAGACATTAGACGCTCAAATAGGATTAGAAAACCTGTTGAGCGATTAGATTTGTGATTTTTTTTGTTTTTTGTTTTCCATTTTGATGTACAAGACTATGAAAACAATGTAACTTTATGTAGTGATTGTTTCACTGTACCATGTTTTTGTATTTTTTTTAAGTATAAAGGGGGTGTTGGGTATGGCAACACTGCATAGTTTTTCTAGGGAGGACACTACCTGTATGTTACGAATGATAATTAGGGGAGAGTGGGTTAAGATGGCGCAGTTGGTAAGATGACGCACCTCATAACTGCCTCATTTAATAGTTTAAATTTCGAATTGCGCGGGAAATTTCATTGCTTACGTAACCAGGACTGTCAGTGCAAAGTTTCAACCGAATCCTACTACCGCTTAGTGTTAAACATGACGCCAACGTGATAGTGTGTTGATTGTTATTGTAGTGTTCAAGAAGTTTGTTTCCAAAAAGTAGCTTTGTTAACATTGTCAGAACTAGGGGATGGTAGGGTGAATCGCCCAGTTAGCCGGCCACCACCCGTTCTCGGCCACTTTAGGAGAATTAGGGAATAAATTAGTACAAACTTTTGTTTCGATCCGCGATTTTTACAGATCCTACTCAACACTCCTTTCCCCACCACTTTACGGATCACGCCATTTTTTTAAGCACATGTCACCATAAAAAATGGCAGTTAAAAGTTGGCTCTTGTGAAACGTGCGTGCCTGCGGCTGTTTACTGCAGATTTGCTAGGGTCCATCTCATAAGGGAATAGTGATTATTTTGTGTAATACTGATTATAAAGGTAAGTGTTATTAAATTTTAGATAAATAATATGTCGATGTACTATTATATTTAAGAAAATAATGATAATTCATAAGTACTAATTATTTTATGGGGTGGCCGGTAAACTGGCTTAACCAAAACGCTCAATCCACTTCTCGGCCAGGGTGGCCGAGAACAGGTCGTAGAGCATGATATTGTTTATCTTTTTTTGTCTTACTGGTTCATAATAATTCGTATCCTTTTCTCTGGCATACTTAGGACAGTTAGTACCACAAAATAGCCAGTTTTCGGCCGGACTATCTAAAAAAGCGCGGGAAATAAAAATGTTTAAAAGAGCGGCCGAGAAAAGGTATCTTGGCCTTTTTTCGGCCATTACCTTTAACTTATATTGGTTTTATGTGCTTTTTACCTGATTTCGTGTTAACCCCATTTTCTCGTCATCTAAGATTTCCTGAACCTATAAAAAAAGGTTCAGAAAATAAAAAAAAAGAGAAATTGCCAAGTGCTATCCGTCCAACGCTTGGCGAAAACATATTGAAAAGCAAGAGAAAGGAAGACTAAATAAACAGGAAGCTCAGCAGAAGAAAAAAGATGAAAGACTGGAAAAACAGAATTAAAAAAATGCAAAAAAAGATATAAAACAGTCAAAAAAAAATGCAGCAAAGAAATTAAAATTGATGTGTTCTCTTTGCGAAGATGAATTGGTAAGTGACACAGAAGATGATTCTTTAAAAAACCTGGGATGCGATGCATGCCTGTAACGAGTGGTTTGATTTCGCGCCAAATTTCATTAAAAATTTCGAATTTCTTGTCATGATAGTGCAGGTCACCCTGTATATTTCATTATTTGTTCCGGTTAGAAATTTTGTGTTTGGGCATTTCGGTTCGCTCAAGACTATGGTCCGATAGATTTAATTTCGCTCAGATTTAATTTCGTCGTGGGAAGAGTGCAAAGCTGATTGACGTCATCATGAGTAATGCGAGGTTTTTGTCGTTTATTTATCAACTTTGGCGCCGACTGGACCGAGAATAGGAGCGGATGTAGCACCGAGCCGTCAGGAGATAAGGCCTTTCCACGTCGTCAGCAGAAAACCGTGAGATCAGTTTTGAGTCAGCAGTTCTTTGAGGTTAATGACGAAGTTAGAGTGGGTTAAGTTTTCTTTATCTGAACCAATGGGAGAATTTCTAGCGGGAGCCATTTTTGTTTTATGGTAATTTGGGTGTGGTTTTTTCATTTCAATTCTGAAGAAGGGGATCGTTTTTTGGGAGACTCGCGGTTAGTACTTCAAGCGGTCAACACGTACCTTGAGCGAAAGTTTTGGTACACTTGGCGGTTTGAGCCACCGGCTTATTTCGGTTGCTCCCAGTTGCGTGCTTTTTGCACCCGTTTCGAAGTGTTATTTTCTTTGCGCGTTGATTTTTTGGCGAAGAAGACCCGGTTCCAATCAGGTGATATTTTGGCGAACCCTTGAGCTTCACCCCAGGTTACTTTGGATGCAGTGAATCGCGTTAGGATACGTTGTGATTTCTCGAGGATATATAATTCAAGTGCTGCCCTAGTCCTCAAGGCGCAGAATTTCGGGATCCGCCCCAGGTGGAATTTCCTAATAGTGCCGTAAGGTCATTTGTCGAAGGAGCGCTGCGTTTCGGAGAGATATTTGCCCCAAGAAGAGCTGGTGAAATAATACTTTGAACCATCACAGTTTCCCGTCGGATAGTGATCATAAAAGTTTGTGTTCTGCCGTACCGCTAACTCAAAAATCTGTATTCCGCAGGCGGTCAAAGCTAATAAACTAATAAAATAAAATTAAATACACTGTGCTGTGTAGAAACTTTGGCAACTAGCCGTCTCCCACTCGCCACGCGAAGGATTTCCTGGACTAAGTTTCCGTTCAAACACTAAACTTTGCTTTCGTTCCGAGGAAGGATAGGCACCGTGGATTTTTGTTTCCGTGTGTTAAATTCAAGCCACCCCCTAGGAAGTCACAGAGACCTAAGTGTCAGGTT